TTAGCATCATTTTCTGGAAAATTTGTTTTACAATTAGTTGTACAATGTATAAATTGTACAGTAGTGTATGGTAGCACTAAATTTGAAAATTTTTCTTCAAATTTATACTCAGATATACAATATTTTAACAACATTAAGGGAACTTTTTTTTCTGAAGATTTTTTTTTTCTGAAAATACTCTTTCACATGATTTACACATGATTAGGATTGGCCTAAATTTCTTAATGTGGCCTAAGATTACCTTTCCAACATTATTAATGATTTTCAATTTTACCAAGTTCCCTTCTAGTGTCTACTAATATGCACATATGTTTTGAATAATTATCATAATGGTAGTCAGCATGCAATTTTCTACTCTGATTTCCCATTTACAATAATAGAATAACATTTTTATTGCTATACTGTCTTTCTTTTAATAATCTATTCTATAGTTTTATATTAAACAGACATATCATAATAAATTCAATCATGCTTCTTCTGTTATTTGAGGAACCTTAACCCATATGTTATGATTGGTTATATTCTACATATACTGAAATCTTTTAGAGAAAGAAGTTATCTAGATAGTATAAACAGGTAAAATGATAACTACCCTTCAAAAAAATCATACCAAGAGGAATATTTTATTGGACTATGGCTAATGAAGAGCTGAATTTATTTTTCTTTTCTTTTTTCTTAAGAGGTGAATTTCTATCTGGATATTTTTTTGTCTAAAGATCATATTTCCCCATTTGTGTTTACACTATAATGAACCATTTTAGGATTAAAAACTCTGGAGGTACATTCCACATAAACAGAGCGCTGGAAGATACACCACAGAGAAGCAACGGGGTGTAGTGGAAAACATGTGGGTTTTGGAATCAAATGGAGTTGGACTGCTGTGCTTTGAAATTGTACGTTCCACAAAAAAGACTTGCACAAGGCGGCTCATAATGGCTTTATTTATAACAACCCAAACTGGAAACAGCCCAAGTGTACATCAATAGGAAAACGCATAAACTGTGGTATATTTGCCCATGAAATAGGATTCAGCAATAACAGAATGAACTCCCATTACACACAAAAACATGAGTGACTCTCAAAATTCTGATCAGAGAAAGAAGTCTTACACAACGTTACATAATTTATGATTCTGTGATGTGACGAGCTAGGACAGGTGAAGTTAACACACACACACACACACACAAATCAGAACATTGGTTGCTTCCAGAGGTTGAGGTGGGAATTTGCACAGGGGAGACAGAAAAGAACTTCCAGGGATGAAGGGCATGTCCTGTAACTTAATGGGGGTTGTATGTGCTTTTCTGAAATCATGTCATTGGACCTTTAGGATTTGTGCTCTTCATTGTATGTAACATGTCTCGAAGAAAATAAAAGAACTTAAACAAATATTAAACTCTAGTTAATGATACACATACCAAAGTATTGCAACTTACTTTGAAATTCATAAAAACTAAGATGGGTTGATGGCTGGATAGAGGGATTGAGGAATAGACAGGTAAATGAACGAGCATTGATTTCAGACTCTGTGTTTTCCTGTGTTGTTGAAAATGTTCATGATAAAACATTGGAAAGCCTTTTTGGATCTTGAGCATGCTCGTTAGAATTTGAGAGCTTCTCAAATTCAAGTTCTGCGAGATGGGGGGGTCATATATACCTGATGAAGTTGTGAAGGTAAAAATAAAAATTGCCACAAAAATAGGTCTGTTGTATGGTAGACTTTCATGTGCCTGGCAATGCTGTTTGCCTTCTCTCTGGCCCCCTCTTATTTGTCTTGCCAGTTTATAGTATGTAAAAGATATGTCTTCTAGGATTCCATAGCACTGCCTATGAGCAGGTGGTCTGAAATGGTCTGTAGCACAATTACTGCGGTGATGGGGAATGAACTGTGTGCTGTCCTTGGATGATCTATTTCTTGAGTGGAGGGACAGCTTTTATGGATGGCAGAGGCTCAGACTCCATGAAGGAGGGGACAGCCTGTGGTGATATTTGTTCTGAAGAGATTGATGGAAGAGAGAGAGGAAGGACAGAGTATCACAGGTGGTCATCAAATAGGTTTTAATATTTAAAAACTAAATAGTTCTTCAGGTCACTAAAAGCTCCATTTGTGAGCACACATGTATTTCAGAAATACTTACGCAGGGGCATCTGGGTGGCTCAGTCGGTTAAGCGGCTGCCTTAGGCTCAGGTCATGATCCCAGCATCTTAAGATCAAGCCCCGTATCAGGATCCTTGCTCAGTGGAAAGCCAGCTTCCTCTCACCCTGCTTCTCTCCCTGCTTGTGTACTCTTGCTCTCAATCTCTGTCAAGTAAATAAATAAAATATTTTTTAAAAAAAGGAAAGAAATACTTATCCAAGGTCTACAGCATGCCTGATATTGTGCCAGGAACTGGGGCTGCAGAGATGAACAAGGGCTCACACAGACATAGGTGCCTGTCCGCTTGGAGCTGACATTCTAGCAGTGCTAAAGTTGGTCAGACTTAGGAATCCGTGTGCTAGCAAGCAAATATTTACTGAGTATTAACTCTGTGCCAGACTTGATACCATAATACCATAATGAACCAAACATACTCCACACTCTCACAGAGCTTACTACCTAACAGAAAAGCCAAATTTGATGAATCCACACCAAAAAGTCCGCTATACATTGGAAATGTGCAAAATACTATGAAGGAGAAGTACAGGTGACTTCAGAGAAGTACAGGAAGAGAAAGCTATTCCCCTGTCATCTGGGTGAAAAGAATTTTCCCACTAAACTTTGCCTGGAGTTAGGAGAGTAAGCTGAGCAGAGAGAGGACTGGGAGAGCCATGCCACATGCCACGTCGACAATGGAACGAAGAACAGAATTCGTTACACCAGGAGACAATGTAGTCAGTCACGCTGTTTGCTCACTCTTTTTGATTTTTTTGTTGGTTTATGCCTTAGAAGTCCCAGTATAGTTCGGCTACAGAAAGCAAAGTGAGAATGGCCTTTAGCCGTACCGAGGAATTCTAGAATTAAGTTTGTCTTCAGTCCGATCCGAGACTACAGCAAATACCCCGACACTTCCATGGTGCCAAAAAGCTGCTGGAGGAGACACAGGGTCTGGGATCCTTAAACGAAGCAATTACACGATTGACCTACTGCAAGGACATTTTCCTTGCACCCCAGCTGAGATCACTGGCTCTGAGCAGAAAAGGTAGCAGCAAAGAGAACATGGAGAATTGATGAAAGGTGTGTGTGTGTTACAAAAATTGCTACTCCTACAATCGTAAAACATTCTGGGAGCAAATAAACACTAACACATCATCACACTACACATTCTTCTGTGGGGACAGGCTGATCTGGGGGATTCCGAACCACTCACCTCTGAACCAGGAGGGGGCTGGGCTATGTTTGGAGAACTTCCCTTTTCCAGCACCATCCAGAGACATAAAACAGGTGCGCAACCAATACTAGTTGAATTACTCTAGGTTTCTTTGCATTTGCTCCCCGATTTCCTGGACGGAAAAGAAAAATATAGAAGAATATAAAAGATGAGCAAAGTAAATGTACAAATGATACGTTCATTTAGAGCTGTGTTCTGATCCAGCCAAGAAGTCAAAATAGGTCCTGAATGGTTCAGCGTCTGCCTACAGCGCAAATCTTCCTCTCTGTCTAGGGAAATGACTAGGATGGAAGGGCATGTTTCATGGCATCCTCTTAAAATCAAGAAGGGCTGAAAGGGAATGAAGTCAAGAAAATCGAAGAAGAACAAGGCTGGGAAATTAGGCTGTAGGAGAGCTATGGCATTAGACTGCCTTAGCTTCACACTCTCATCCCCTCCACTAACTGCCAAGCTATGACACTTAGGCAAGCTACTCAGCCTCCATGGTATTTTATGTATTATGGGGACCTGATCACAAGTGTTTTGTTTTATTTTGTTGTCCTCGAAAGAATCATCTCTAAAAAAAAAGAAAATCATCTGAGTTAATGCCCTCAGCACAATTTCTGGCACATAATAAGTACTCCGTAAATTTTAGTTTTCACTCCTAATGATTTTCTAAAATAATCCCAATTTCCTCTCTAAGATTTTTCACTAAACATGATTTGTTAAGTATATAACTAGAGGTAAAATGTCACAAATCTCAAAGAGATTTTGTATAAATATATTCACAAATCAGGGGGAAAAAAATTCTACTTCTCACTCCCTGATTTGTGAATATCTAGGGCCCCTCACGCCCACATAATGGAGTCATTAGTCTGGTCTCTCTGAATTGGAATTAGCCTCCTCCCAGAGCAGGCTATCGTACACCCTGACAGTAGATTGAGGCTTGGTTCCTCTCTCAAAGACAACGATGCGCAGATAAACTGGATTGCTTTGCTGTAAAAAGCCAAAGAATCTCATCAGTCTGGGGCTGTGCATGCTTGGTTTCTGGCCTGGATTTGTCCGCCAGGCCTTGCAGAGACAGAGGGAGGAAGAGAGAGAGAGAGAGGACAGACCTCATCCACCTAAAACAAAATCAGGCTGACACAGGAAAGATGATTTATGCTTTGTTTAAAGGCAAGTGTCACGACTTTTGGAATAACAGTAGTGCTGAAAAACTGACACACTTTTCCTCCTGGTATGTCTTTGCATAAATTGTTCCCCTCGCTGCAGGAGTAACCGATACCATCTGTGAGCGTTCTGGGCTCGTCACTCTCTTGATTCCCTTTCAAGCTGCATGTTTCTCTTCTCTGCCTCTTTTCGAAGGTGTAGTTACACAAGAGTGTCCCCCGCCACCGCAACCCCCCACCCCCAGCTCTCGGCCAAGCCCTGGGTCTGAGCGCCTTCCCCAAGCCTTTTAACCCCTTGCTTCCAGCCCGGCATCTGAAGGCCAAAACAATCCTAGGAGCCCGGCCCTCCCACTGCCTGTGATAGGCTGCCTGAAATAGCAACAGCCCGTGTCACCGAAAAGGGCAAAGCCTTCGGAAATAGAAACAAAGTTGGTTACAAATCACACTGTGTGTGTGTTTGTTTTTTTGGTTTTTTTTTTTTTTTTCACCCTTCTTTAGCAGGCGACCATGGGGAAAGTGACCACTGCCGTCAGAGCGGGCAGCCCGGGTGGCTTGGGGCCGCGGGGGCGCCTGTAACTTCTACGCGACCATGGTACCTGTTGAAAACAGCGAGGGCCCCGGGTTGCTGAGCCCCGGGAGGAGAGCGGCCGAGACGGAGGGCAGCGGCGCAGCCAGCGGCAGCCGGCATCCTCCCTGGGCCAGAGGTAAAGCGAGGCACGGGCCGGCGGTACTCGGCTCTCGCTCGTGTGTGTGTGTGTGTGTGTGTGTGTGTGTGTGTACACACGTGAGCGGGCGAGTTGCGTGGAGAGAAGGGGACAGGATCCGGTGGGAGCAGGAACGACAAGGAGCTATAGTGTGAAGATCCAGGTCCCACTCCTGGCGGGATGGGTCCATCGGTTGTGTTGGCGGAGTGTAGAACTCTCACATTTTGGGAAGACTGACCAGCCAGAGAGCCCCGTGTGTCAACACACACACACACGCACACACACGCACACACTTTTTCATTTATTGGCCCAAATGGGCAATCCGTAACAAGTGGACATTTGGAAACCCCATGTTTTACATCAGTGTTTTCAGGAGGCTTCAGATAAGTATTAGTTACGTAATTAATGAACACAACTTTCTTTCTTACGTTCCCAGCCTCCGTTTGTTAAGAAGACTTTGTAATGAATTCAAGCCTGAAACCGCTGCTTGATTTGCTCCTGCTCTTTCCAACAGGCCTTTCAAACTGAGGTGCCTTTAATACTCTTTCCTTCTGAGGTGAAATCTGAAAACGTTTTAATTCATTTCAGCGATCTTGGCTCTGCGGAATGCTGTTCTTCACCTCCACGTTGACAAATACCCACAAACACGCTGCAAGCTCTTGGCTATCCTTTCCTACTCTTCCAGTTGGTTCCCAAAGGAATAGAAACCAATCATGATAGGAAATAGAATCAAACACAAAGAATTCTCTCTCTAAGGTTTTCCTCAGCTCTTCTTCCCTTCAGCATTCGATAGGTTCCCAGGCCAGAGATTGGAATTTCGTGAGTAATCCAGAACACTAAATGATAGAAAAGGCACGTACCTTTCACCTTGCAATGGATCTATAAAGTTATGTTTGCATCCTGGGTTTGTCTGATCTTGGATTTGAATCCACGACCCCTCTGTTGGAGGCGTGGATTGGGTCCTCGGCAATGAGAAGTTACAGGCCTTCCCTTCCCTGCTCCCTGCTCAGCTTTTCTCCTGCTTTCCCACTTCTGGTCAAGAATGAAGGTCTGGAGTCGTCCTTCAGGATGGCTGAGTCCCTCTCTGAAGCAGAGCTGCTCCTTCCTCCACATGTGTTCTCTGGCTCATTAGTCTCAGAGCAGCCCAGGGAAGCTTGTGTCTGAGGGTTCAGGGAAAGAATCGCAATGTTCTCTCCGAGTTCCTGAAAGATTGAGCTGCAGTGTTTGCTGAGGTGGCCAAATCAACAAAAGAGTTCACTAAATAGCCCTTGATAATGTCACAAAGAAGAAAAGAAACTTTGTCCTGAGGGGGCCTCAGCAGCAACAATTAAAAAAATGCACTATTCAATTTTGACACAGCTTTGAAAGCACGGTATACTCTTAATAGGTTAAATTGTGCAAATGCACAAGTATCCTGAAATAAGGTCACAAGTATGTGTGTTTGGAAAGATTGAATATATTTACAAAATGAATTTAAAGTACAACTGTTTGTATTCTAAAGAAATGATAAGTGGATAAGTACCTTAAGTTATTTTTTAAATTTAATTCTAAATGAATCTTTGTTATATAGAAAAGGAAGCCGAAATGTTTCCCCCAAATCTTAAATAAATACAACTGATTTGTGCTATAGTTTACATTTAGATGAATACAAATATTTTAGTGTCACTTGTAAATTTTCCTAAGTTGTCTGACACATCTCTTGGTCCCCAAAGGCAATTATATGTCTACCGATTCATAGTGCAGGCTCGCTGTGTGGTTTGGGATGATACTTTAGTCTGTTTTATGAAGATGTTGAGGCATCATACAATAATGCTTGCCAGATACTTCTTTTGATATCTTTATATTTCAAACTTTCATAGTTTCATCCAGGAAATTCAGAGTATTTACATATGCTCAATAATGATCATTCTAATCCTACATTTGATGATTGAAGTTTTTGTATATTCCTAGATGGGAAAATTAAAGCACAAGGAGGAACTAGTCATACAACCCAGGGGAAGATAATTAAGTCATTCGAGAGACCGAAAAACAAAACAAAACAAAAATTCCCAAACTCCATGATTGCACATCCAAATGCTTTTCTGCCCAATGAAGAGTGTTAGCAGATCTTGTTTGGCCAACCCTCCTTGAGCTGGTGAGAATGCTTTGTTCCAATGACTAGAAGCTAATGAACTTAAATTCATTTTCAAGAAGTTATGACACAAAGTGCATATATTTTCAGTAAATTTTTAAGTGTCTACAGACATGTTATAATTGACCTCATAGGAAGGGTTGAGCTCAATCCTGGTGCCGACCCCAACATACATGATATTAGAAAAGTGCAGTACCAGAACATCTCACACAAGAGAACGAAGATGTGCAGTTAATTTGAGTTCACTCAGTGCTGGTGCATAACTGAGTGTGGTGTTTCTGGCTTGGGAGGCCAGATGCCTGCTCTTCCATCTCGGGAGATGGGTCTCCCAGGCTCTTCTAATTTCATGTTTCGAATGACTGGCTGAGGGGATGGTTTCCTTAAGGCCCCCTCTACCCCAGCAACAACTGCCCCAATGTTCCGAAACCAAGAACAATATTCTTTGTATGAATGCAGGTTCTCATCACGTTAGATCCTGCTGTTGAATGCACTGGAATTCAGGTCGCTAGAACTGGACTCACTGACCCAGCTGAAAGGGCTGGGCTCCATCCTCCTAAGACCCTTCTCAATCCAAAATGCCATAGCCTGAGACATAAGAAATGCATACTTGGTCTAATCAGATGAGTGTCCGAAGGCAGTTTTCTCAGACTTGTTTAAACCTGTGAAACTCCTTTTGATAAAGGAGAAGCTGAATAGGTGATCGATATGTAAGAGAAGTCATCGTGGCACTTCTCTAGAGAAAAGAGGGGAGGTAGAGAAAGGAAAAACTTGAGGCCGGTGGCTCCCTGCTCCCTTCCCACCCCTTGTATCCCCGAGCAGACGCCTGGGTGGGACCACATTAGCAAACCACAAGTCCATCACTTCTCTGCTCATGCAGGCCATGCTTAAAGAGGTCGGGGCATTCTTACTATGCTCCTACTGAGTCTTGGAGTCCCACGGTTAACCTAAACCAGGCCTCCTTGAATTCAGTCAGGCCTAGCTTTCTCAGGCTTCTTTAGGCAGCCCCATAGGAAGTCTACTTTTTAGAGAGCTGAGGAGACTTTTAGAAGCAAGCTTATCCCCAGGGAAGAGTAAGTCAGACCAACCGGCTTGACCTCATAACAGAGCCTTGGTTGTGAGAGGATCAGTTCTAACAGTGAACCAGTCATTTTGGGAAGACCCAGGGCCTTAGCCATTACCATTCCTCCAGGCTTTCCATATATCAAAGAGTGACAAAACCTCTGACAAAAATTATTGTGTTTTAAAAACACACATATTTAATAAGTTAATGGCTGATAACAACAAAAAGTTATTGTAGGAAGCTTGATATTGCCAAGGGAATGCCGGGATTTATCACATGTGAATCTATGAGGGGCTGTAGACTCTTTTGTCTGAAAATAAAACCAGATTTAAAGATAATCACCTCTCTTTTCACTTCAGTCAACTTTTCTCTATGATTGTGCATAACACATCACTTGGAATTGACATCAAAAGTCTTAATTTGAGGCTTTTTGTGACTGTGAGGCTCCAGCAGGAGGCTTCTCCAAGATCTAGAAAGAGAGAAGGCTCTAAACAAGCATGGTGGCACGTTGTTTCACCACAAACTCTGGGTGGTGTGTCGCTCACACAGCAGGGCTCTTGTTTCCTCTGGAGATCACTGTGACCTAGAGAGGGCAGAGAGGTTGCCACTTGCCAAAGACTAGCTCCCAGGGGCCACTGCACAGCAGACACACATTGGTGGGAGTCGGCGGGTGGCAAAGCCTGACAGACACCAACAGAGCCTTTGTGCAATGTGGCTGACCTGGGGGGACTGAAATTAATCAGTAGGCACCAGTGTGCCCGAGCTGGTTTTACAGCTCATGTCTGTTCCAATAGGTCAGTGCCCCTTTCCCAGCTGTTAAATATTTGTAATATCACCCTTCTTTCCGGTAGGACTGCTGTCAGGAGCCAAGGTCTCTGAGATCCCAGGAACAGGTCTTGTGGTAGCCCTTCACTTACAATGTTTGTGAATTTTCAACGGGGTACTTTTTAGTGGGCTGGATCTTCTATTAGCTGGTTAAACAAACAAACAAAAAAAACAACCAGTCCCGACAAAGAATGACTCCACCCTGGAGCTGCCTAAGGAAACTTCAACTGACATGTGGAAATCAAAGGTGATTTGGCCAATTTTAAAGTGTTATTTTTAATTGCTGTAGATATGTGGGATTCTATTTTCCATTCAAAAATAGCTCTTGAATATGGTTTTGTAGGTAGCATTTTCTCAATAGTAAGAACCTAGGTAATACTTAGCCTAAGGTTGTGAAATGTTCTAAGAGCTCCCAGCGGCCCTCCATTAGTGCGCAGTTGGCTTGTGCCTCTAAGCATTGAAATGGCTCTTTACTCAGATTGGGTGGGAAAGCACCGGTTGTATGAGATTCTTAAAGATGCAGAGTTGGGGCTCCCTAGTTCTGTTTTCTTCTCATGCACAGTCTTCCCCAAGAAGATGAATTATTGAATAAAATAGGGGATGAAAGCCATGTAAAACGACACCGAGTTTTGGTGGGGAGTAAGGGGGAAAGTCGACATAGACTTCTTCCCAAGAAGCTATTTGACCAAACACCAAATAAAGATAATTTCTCATCCATCTTCCCTCAGAAAGTACCCAGTCTCTGTTAAAGGCAAAACTTGAAATCACCCCAGATATTTCCCAGCTGAAACTTTGAGTCAAATACATAATCTTTGTAGTAAATCATGAATTCATAGGGTTCTTTTCAATTTATGTTCGGTTTGTTTTGGCTCATTGGTATCATTTTACCTCCTATGTCACAAGCACAGTCATTTATGCATTTGCTAAATGGCCATGACTTGGTGATATACTAATTTTTCTATACAATTTAATAGAAGTAATAAT